GAGCTGGGCCTGGATAAAGGTGGAGCTGGGCCTGGATAAAGGTGGAGCTGGGCCTGGATAAAGGTGGAGGTCTAAACAGACGTGAGTGCAGCTTCCTGCTGTCAGTGTTTTAAATACATTGATAAGGCAGGCTATGCTAAATGTAGCCTCTGCTCCATGAGATGAACTACAGCAACAAGGGCTCACATGTCCTCTCATCACACTGTTCACTGTGATGACCACAGCCAGTGGACCAACAGTCCCAACAGTCCCACGCTGCTCTCAAGAACCCTGAAGTAATGAGAGGGTTAAGGAGCCTGTACCTTCATGTCAGCAGGTTGCTAATGCAGAGGTGTGTATAGATCACAGCTATTATTTTACTCTTGATAAGTTACTTTAGCCAGAGTAGATTATCATTTTAATAATTGAACTGGATTGAATGCATATTAATTGCAAATAGAAGATAGGCCACAATTCTAACAGCTGTACAGTAACAGTGGAAGTTAATATGAAGCCATACAGTAACAGGGTTCAATGAAACATGTGCACTACCAAAGGGAAAGCAACATGTGCACTAGCTGGATGCTACTACCTACTAAAGCTCTTATTGATGTGTCAGTGTCAACCAGAGTATATTTATAAATGTTTATTCTTTTAATCAAACTATTGTCTCATTCGTTTGTCATTTAAGGTTTACTGTATGCTTTGGAATTCTCATTGTAAGTTTAAATACATTTTCTCACTTTTTCATGTATATACCGAGATTTCACAAAATGTTTGGTCATGGAAATTTGGTGAAAAGTCATGGAAATCCATTGGTCACAATGTGTATGAACCCTGGGACACAGTGATCTCATTCCTCCTCCTCCTCCTGGTCTGATGTGTTGTTTCTCCTCCCCTCAGCCCTGGTGGACACGGTGATCTCCGTCCTCCTCCACCCGTCCTCCTCCTCCTCTCTGGCTGCTGCCTGGTGTCTCCGCTGCGTTGCTGTCGCGGTGCCGTCTCAGTGTTCCTCTCTGCTGGACCGCTGCACCGAGCGGCTGGTGGCGCTGAAGTCCTCCCCCGAGGCCGTGGTCGGGTACGGGGCCGCCGTCGCCGCCCTGGTGGCCGCGGTGCAGCACTGCCCCCTGGGAATACCACACTCCAGAGGCACGGTGGGTAAAACATGCGCCGTGCGTGCATGTGATATATATGTGTGTGTTATATGTGTGTGTATGTGTGTACAGGTGGTTCTGTCTCTGGCTGAAGACCTCCTGCGTTCAGCCTCTCAGAACAGTCGTATCTCTCTTCAGAGGACTCAGGCCGGCTGGCTGCTCATCTCCTCTCTCATCACTTTAGGTAAAACTTTATTGACAACAGCTTGTAGACACGCTAGCACTACAGCTGATGTCTTTAATCTGTGTGTGTGTGTCCAGGCCCAGCTGTTGTGGAGCACCACCTCCCCCGTCTCCTCCTCCTGTGGCGTTGTGTGTTTCCTGCTTCTCTGAGGGAGCAGGAGATGGAGCTGCGACGAGGGGACTACTTCACGTGGCAGGTTACGCTGGAGGGACGTGCTGGGGCGCTCAGTGGTCAGTGTGCCCAACACCTGTCTGTCTGTCTGCCTGTGAAGAATTACATCATAATATACCAGGAGACAAACCCCCGGTTCCTTACGTGAATCCAAAGCTTCACGTGTTAAAGCTGCATTCTCTCTAGTCTATGAGAAAATGACTCTACTTCTCTCTTGATTTATTACCTCAGTAAACATTGTAAACATGAGTTTATGGTCTCAATCTCTGGTTTCAAGTCTTCTTCAATACAGCATGATGTTCATTTAGTACATTATGGTCCATTTAGAGTCAAACAGACCATAAAGCAGGGGATGCTTTAGGGCGGGGCTACACAGTGATTGACAGGTCTGTACCAGAGACGTATACGCCGTCTCTACGTCACTCCTCCTCAGTCCTGATATGGTCACTTCCTGTTCACTGGTTATAAAAAACAAGATGGCGACGGCCAAATTGAGTCCAGGTTGAAAAATCCACTTTAAAGTATTGATTAGAGGACATTAACTCACCTGTAAACCTGTAAATCACTCATACATCGTGTTGTGTTGTTGTGTCTGAGCAGCCATGAAGAACCTGCTGCTGCACTGCAGGGAGCTGGTCACCGATGACATCATCAACCATCTGCTCACCCCATTGGTCTGTGCTGTGGCTCTGCTCACCAGGTAAGTCCCACCAGATAACACACTCAGAACCAGAACCTGATATATACCTGAGACATGTGTGTGTGTGTGTTTGTGTGTGTGTGTGTGTCTCCAGACTGCCATCTCTCCTCCGGTCTTATGGAGGTTCAGTTCTCAGCTGGTCTCTGGTCTACAGACTGAGGGTCTACGAGCTGCTCGCTCTGCTGCCTCCTCACACCTACCAAGGTAACTACACACCTCCTTCTCTCTCTCTTCTTCTGTCTTTCTTTCTTTCTTTCCTTCCTTTTTGTTTTTTCCCTTCAGATCTTTCATGTTTTATTTTCTTGTCTTGTGTTTTTCTCACTTCTTTTGTTATAATAAAATACTGTAATGTTTCCCCGTGTCTTTCTTGAGTTCCTGTGTGTTCAGATCTTCCTCTCCTCCTCCTGCAGATAGTTTTGGTTTGGTGATGAACCAGCTGGTCTCAGATCTGTCCGGTCAGGACAACCTCAACCAGCCCTGTTCAGAGCTCACCCTGCTGCCCCCCCTCTGTCACCAGGACGACCTGCAGCTGGTTGGCCCTGCCCTCCACGCCACCGACCACCGATACATCGAGGAGCAGGTGACGGGATGCTAACGGGATGCTAACGGTATACGGCACAGAACTCTTTTGTGACGTGTGTGTGTGTGTGTGTGTGTGTGTGTGTGTAGCTCCATGGCAGCAGTGTGGGAGGAGCCTCGCTGGACAACGACGTCTTCAGTCTGTGTGAGACGAGCGATGAAGCTCCTGCTCCTCTTCCTCCTCCCGTCGCTCTCACCGCCGCCGCCGTCCGACTCTTCGGAACGCTTTACCCCTACGTCATCTCTGCTCAGAGGTAACTGAGATAACTAGTACAGGTCAACTGTGCAGGTCAACCGTGCAGGTCAGCTAGTGCTGGTCAACTAGAACAGGTCAACTGTGCAGGTCAACCAGTGCAGGTCAGCTAGTACTGGTCAAGTAGAACAGGTTAACCACTGCAGGTCAGCTAGTGCTGGTCAACTAGAACAGGTCAACCAGTGCAGGTCAGCTAGTACTGGTCAACTAGTACAGGTTAACCAGTGCAGGTCAACCGTGCAGGTCAGCTAGTGCTGGTCAACTAGAACAGGTCAACTGTGCATGTCAACCAGTGCAGGTCAACTAGAACAGGTCAACCAGTGCAGGTCAGCTAGTGCTGGTCAACTATAACAGGTTAACCAGTGCAGGTCAGCTAGTGCTGGTCAACTATAACAGGTTAACCAGTGCAGGTCAGCTAGTACTGGCCAACTAGAACAGGTTAACCGTGCAGGTCAACCGTGCAGGTCAACCGTGCAGGTCAGCTAGTGCTGGTCAACTAGAACAG